TGCCTTTTGTATGTTACATCTATAGCAAACTTCTCTGGCTTTCTGACCAGACTTCCAACTGCTAGTGGAGCTCTTAGCAGAGCTATGGGCTCTACTAGTTGCAGCTGTGAGGATGAGCAAGGCCAAGCTATTGTGTATATATATATAAAAAGGCTACTTAGAAGATGATTTGTGAGAGATGAAGGCAAGCCTTTTAGAGTCTAGTCATAGCCTTCCTTTTTCTTCTTCAGTTTCCAAAATTCAGTTCACTTCCTGATCATCAAATAGCATATTTATTGATGACATTCAGCATCCAACAGCAGAGTCAAGAAGAGAACTTAGAAGGGAGGATAAACCTACCCATCCTGTGGCTGATGTGGTGTTTTGGTGGAACAGGCCAGCTAATAGATTTCTAGCAGAGAGGAGGTTATTTCAGTGCTATTAATTATGTCCTGATTAAATATATCTGCTGAGTGACAGAAGGGAAAAGGAAAAAATAATCTCAGGCTTGTCTGGCAGATGCTTAACTGTATCATGAACATTTCTGTTAAATGTACTCCTGATGGCAAGCAGTAGCAGGTGCAAATTAATGCTCACAATTTTCCCGTGTGACAGTCAAGTGTATTTCTTCATTTTGCCAAGGAGAAGACAAAGCTTCAGTGCCATAATCACAGTCTCAGTGCAAACAGGAGTTACACAATGAAGTTCTATGGCGATCCTTGATTCTCATTTTTACCATTTTGCCTTTCACGCTGTCTTCATGACCCTTTACAGCTTCTGTGATAGTGGTAGAGTTACTGTTCTCAGTTCTGCAAGGGAAGAATCTCCTGCTGATGAGCTCCAAGGATGGCCCTTAGAGTTGTCTCAGCTGAAAAAGAGAAATTTACTAATTAAATGTAAATGGGCTTTATTGTATCTTACATGTATGTTAAGCTGAGATCTTAATTTCATTTTGCTACTGAAGTGGCTTGTTCTAAAATCTCATGTCAAGTCCTATTGACAGTTGCACAAAATGTTTCCAAATTAAAAGGAAAATAGAATAAAATTTTAAGAATTTTAAATAGAAGGGAAGGGGCGATAAGTTTTCCTGTCTTGTGAAATCTTTTGTGGACAAAGAAAATCTGAGTCTTGCTCAGTTTCTCTAAAAAATGAGTGCAACAAATGAGTAAGTATAATGCTCATCAGAACGTTCCGGCTTCTGGTTAGATTTATCACATCTGTTGAATTTTGTGAAGCTTTCCAAGATTAATGTTACTGGATTTTTTTACTTACAAATCAGGTCTTCTCTCATCTAGATGGCTGTTCTGGAAAAGCTTCAGCAAGATCGAGCTATTGCTGTGCTCTGTATTTGGAGTGGTTAATGCTTTCCTTAAAGAGACTAACTTTCAGTCTTACTGTGTGTGATTGCTTTGCAAACAGGTCATGGAATTTACATCACAGGCAAAGCCATTGTGTTGTGGTGGTAATCTATTCAGAGCTGGTTTTCTATTTCTGTATAGAAGCTAAGCTTCTTTCTATACATGCTGCCAAATGAGCGTTTTATTACATTAATACAGCTCAGGTAGCTACTATTGTAGCTTAAAGCTGATCTTGCTGTGTTTTTGTGTTTGGGTAGTGGCATATCATATTGTGCAAGGCTTTCTGATAGCACTTGTTTGAACTGTGAATTATTCAGACGGTAGTCTAATACAATGCAGTGTCATAGTACAGAAGAACATAATTCTTAAGAAATAGCTATTTAATGCACATTTGATTTACATTAGTATCTTGTGAGGAGTGAGAGATGACAGCATCAGATTCATGTAATCATTAGTTAGAGGAGTCTTGTATGGGATATTGTAAAAGTTATCATCAGTGTGTTCTGTAAAAGGCAACTGGAATTTTCAGCATACTCATAATGACTGCACAAGCGTTTTTTTGTCCTGTGCAACATAGTCCATCATGACACAGTGATAATAATTTTTAAAGGTTAATTGCACTAGTATTTGAAAAATTGAACAAATGGCTTCATAACTACGACTTAATAAGTTTTGTTGTTTCATGTGAAATCCATCTGTCAAGCCACACTGCTATCACTATGGCTTATATTCCAGATCCTGTCAGCATGTACCAAAAAAAATGCCTGTTATAATATTATCTGCCAGGGAAAGGGAAAAAAAAAGGTTATATTTTTCCCTTTCCTGCCACTTTTTATTGAGCTTACTGAAACCGTTCTGAGCAGCGGATGTTAAGCTTCTACTTGAGTGGAAATAGAATCTTTCTACAGCTGGAATTCTCTCTAAGGCACATAGCACTTGTTTTCAGTAATCTATAATACGGAGATCCTGATTGTAAAATACTACACTATTAGATGTTATTATTCTACATTTTTTACCCCACCCAGGAATTGTTTTTATGTTATTTTTCTTGAAAATATATTGTAAAGGGATTTTTGGAGGCAAGATGGAATAGGTAATCAATAGTAGAAAAAGAAACACAATCACAAAGTAACTCAATAATGTTGGCTTTGTTATCAGGTTAGATCTTGATTCTTCCACGTGACTGGACTAGGAGGAGATGTAATATTTCTGTTTTTAAAGGCAACTTAAAAGGGCTTAATTTTTATTCTGGTGTAAAGCAAGAATCAAAATGTTTAAACCTCATAGCAAAGGAGACTTTTGCTATCTGGCTAGCTGTAGCTGTTAGCTGGTGATGTCTCTGACTGTTTCTGAATCTTTAGCACTAGAGCAGATCCTCAGCTGATGTCAGCTTGTTTAGTCTCGTGACATATGGTAATCAATTCTGACAATCTCAGAGAATGGTGGAATGGTAACCAGAATTAAATGTTTTAAAAAAATTTGAGAATGGATTTAAACAGGCTGAAAAATATCTCTAAATATCTCTATATATCTAAATATCTCTAAATTTAATTAATACATTGATGACATAGGTGTGGGCTCTTTTGCAAATGCTTATGTTGCCTTTCTCAGGCCCACTGGTCCTGTTTGACCACTGTAGATTATGGCCTTGCAATGGGGGTCTTAATATCCTCTTCTGAGTAGATTTTACCCTTTTGCCCTAAGGAGCAAGAGCTTTTTGAGGGATTACTTTTTTTTGCCTTTTTTTTTTTTTTTCTTGAATTGGAATCCTTAATTTGAGTTCTCATCTCTGACTGGTGGATGGCTGTGGTCTTAAAAAAAACCCAACAGTGTCTACATTTTCAAGTGAGATTTTGGTTCAGCTGCTCTTTTCCTGTGGTCTGTCATTGCTTTTCCAAAGAAAATTTTTGTCTGGATAATGGAGTTAAACTTACTTCCTTGAGCAGCTGAGATGTAACTACCCTGAAAGAAGAGTCACCCAGCTCCACATCTTTGTATGGCAGTACAGTTCAGTAATACAGACCACACAAACCCATCTACATTCATAGTGTCAAGTGATTGTCTGCATGGATTTGCACATCACTTCTGTGTAGGAAAAATTTGGTAAATAAAGTTCTTTGTTTCTTTCAGGATGTTTTGTAGTCTTGATGCCTAATTAATGCATCATTTTGGGTACTAATTTCAAGGAGTTGACAGAACAAACAGAGCTGATAGCCGTTTCTTATTGCAAAGATAATTATAGCCTGTCTGCTTGACCATGTTGCACTTGCAGCTTTGCTGGAGTGAACTGGAGTGAATTTGAAATTAATCAAATGTTTGGATTTTCTTAATGGCATGTGTGTGATTGACTGTGGGCCTTCCTCCTCTATGCTGAGCACTATAGAAGATTCAACACAGTGGTAGAAACCAAGAGGAAAAAAAGTGCAATTTTTCTTTTGTTTCTCCTTGTTTATTGCAGGACTCACATCACTGAAATCTGTAGCTACACTTAGTTAAAACAGTCTAAAGATGATTGAGAGGCACCTGAGAAAGTTTCTAAAATTAAACAGTGTTCATTACAAATAGCTAAAAATGGAGAGAAAACAGAGTCGTTAAGTCTAATGATTTTCTTATGACAAATACCAGCCTTGGAAAAGATTAGTACATTCACTAGATTTTATGCACCTGAATTAGTTGTAGAATTACACCACTAAAACACTGTCTGACACACTGTACAATTGCTGAACTCAATTTTGAGTGGTGCTACATAGCAATTACCTTTCAAATATGTTACTGTCTCTTTTAATGACAGCAAAGGGAAACTCAATTCAGTTTGTTCCACTGAATCAGGGAAATTAAAAGGTAGCACTAAATAATTTTCCAATTAGTTTTCAAACTGAGTATTTTGTTTTAAAAATGAGTATTCGGTCCAAATATGAGACCAAAGTTGCCTTTAAATTCCTTCTAATAGATCTGTCAAGTGGGTATTTTATATGTAACTCAGGTGAACCTCAAGCTCTTGCCTGGTGTGAATGTGGATTTTTTTAAATCTGTCTGGCTCTTTTATTTATAAACTTGATTGTTAATAGTAAAGGTCTGAGTGCGCTTGAGTTAGTGTTTCTGAGAGATCTCAGATGTGGGTGTCCATTGCCTTCCAGGTGGCTAGTCAGGCCTTGGGAGCTCCTTCTTGCTTGCCTACTTAGGCATGAATATTAGCCTTTGTGTTGCATTGATACACACTGAACAGTGCAGCTGGGGCAGTTTCACAGCTCTGATAATAAATTACTTAGTACCTTTATTCCCTCCTCAGTTCATTCTATCAAGTCACCTCTTTTTTCTTCAGCACACACAACTATGGATATTTCTGTCTACTGAATACGTATCTGTCATTGTTGATTAATTGCTTGATAAGTTCCAACAAACAGAGAAACAGAGATAAAGAACATAATAGTATGTACTTCTGACACCAGCTGGAAGATTTGGTCTGTGAGATTTAAGTAGTAATATATTATTTTCTAATTGTTTAACTTAAGTCTGTTTGAAATTAGTTTTTCAGAAATAATACTATGTGTGAAGGTTGTACCAACTAACAAAAAAAATTTGCCCATGAAAATGCAGTGGCTAGATTTTTCAGTTACTGCTAACTCTGTTTTTTGTTTGTGTTTTTTTTTTAACTACAGAAAGTGAGTGAAAAAGTAGGAGGTGCAGAAGGAACCAAGCTAGATGATGACTTCAAAGAAATGGAAAGGGTAAGTCTAACTACAGATGTATATATTCAATATCACAATTAATTTTTCCTTCCTAGGAGAGGAATTTCAAAGCGTTTGTCCTGGCATCAATTGAGTAATTTTGAGACTTAACTTTTATTCAGCAGGGCTGAGCTTTCAATTTCTTATTTGTTTTGGTTTTCTAAGCAAAGCATACATAATAAGTGGCAGTCTTTATAATACCAGTATTTAAATCACGGATTGAGGCTGATGTCAACTAAAAATAAGTTTCAGTTAAACCATTGTACAGGCTCTCTAGACAGAATCATAGAATAGTAGGTTGAAGGGACATCAAAGATCAAGCTTTCTCTGCAAAAACACAGTATAGGCAAGATGGCCCAGCACTCTGTCCAGCTAGGTCTTAAAAGTGTCCAATGTTGGGAAATCCTCCACTTACCAGGGGAGATTATTTCAATGGTTGACTGTGAAAAAAATTTCCTCTTGTATCCAATAGGAGTCTTCCCTGGAGTAATGGGGGAGTGACTCTTGTAAAATGGGAGTCTCCGTCTTCTTTGTAGCCACCCCTGAAATCCTGGAACATGGTGATGAGCCCCTAAGCCTTCATTTATCCAGGCTGAGCAGACCTACCTCTCTCAGCCTTTCCTTGTATGTCAGGGTCCCCAGTCCTTGATCATCTTTGTGGCCTTTCTATGGAACCTCTCAAGCCTGTCCACTGTTCTTTTGTATATTGGCACCAGAAATGAACACAGTGTTCCAGGTGTGGTCTGACAAGTGCTAAGTAGGGCAGGATTATGACTTCTTTATCTCTGCTTTTCATGCCCTTGTTGATGCAGCCCAGCATTCCATTGTCTTTCTTTGCTGCTGCAGCTGACTAATACTGAACTTGTTGTCCACCAGAAAATGGTATCATCAGAAAACTCAATTACAGTACACTTGATCACATCATCCAGATCACTCATTAAGATCTTAAACAGCGTTGGACCCAATATCAATCTCTGGGAGACCACACTTGTGATAAGGTGCCAGTATGAAAAGGAGCTATTTACCACCATGCTCTGGGTGCAGCCTGTGAGCCAGTTTCCCACCCACAGTCCACAGTCCACAGTCCACTTGCCTAGGCCATAAGGAATCAGTTTCTCTAGGAGGAGGCTGTGGGCATCTCCATGAAAAGCCTTGGAGAAATCCAAGTAGAAAATGTCCACCATTCACCCCAGATCAACTGAACAGGTTACTTTATTATAGAAGGCATTCAGGTTTGTCAAGTATGATTTGCCCTTGGTGAATCTGCACTGGCTTTTCCTCAGTCACTTACTTAATTTGACTTGTGGTAGCCCCTAGGAAGATTTGTTCCATAACTTTCCCAGCGACTGAAGTAAGACTGATGAGCCTAAAATCAACTGGATCCTCCTTTAAGACCTCCTTGTAGATGGGGGTGACATTAGCCTTCTTCCAGTCTTCTGGATCATGCCCTGATCTCCACCACTTGTCAGAGATTATGGAGAGCAACCTCACAATGACATCAGCTGTCTTAACACCCTCGTATGGATAACGTCATAGGGCCCAGCAATTTGTAGAGCTGAAGCTCATGCAGTAGTTCACATACTAACTCTTCCTTCCTTCACTGATGGTTGGTCAGTGTTTGCACTGACCTGGATTTTTGTTCCACAGGCCTGGGGCCCAACAGTGCTGGTCAAGGCAGGGATGAAGGAAGTGTTGAGAACCTCTGCCTTTTCAGTGTTGTTGGTGACTGGTTCACCTCTCCTGCTTAACAGCAGACCAGTATTTTCCTTGTTTCTGCTTGTTGTTTATGTGCCTGAAGAACCCTTTTTTGTAGTTTTTGACATCTCTGGCCAATTTCAGTTTGAGCTGAGCTTTTGCTTTTGTAGCTGCATCTCTGCACACCTTGACATTGCCCTTGTAGTTCTCAATGGGTATTAATCCCCTTTTTTATCTCTGGTGTGCTTTTCTTTGGTTTGAACAGACTCAGAAGCTTGTAGCTAAGACAATGGAATCTCTAGCTCTGCCTGCTTTCCTTACCTTTAAAGGGGCGAACCTTTTTTGTGCTTTGGAGCGCTCACTACCTCTTTTATCCTCCATAGAAGCTTCCCATGAAACCCCTCCCAACTGAGCTCTGAGTGAGCTGAAGTTTGCTATTCTCGAATCCAAAAACTTTGTCTTACTATTAAGCTTCAGCATGCTCAGGAGGATCCCAAACTCCACAATATTGTGATCAATGCGGCCAAGGCTGTCACTAACTGAGATGTTACAGCAGAGAAAGTCTATCTACAATGGCAAAGGGTATCTGTAATTCTCAGTTCTTTGACCATGAATCAAGAGAAGTAACAGGTGTCTGCTGGATGTGGTTGACAATGCATTGGAATATTCATTCATAGGTTCAGAGGTCCTGTTGGGAAGCCTCCACTGGCAAAGAGCCTTCCAACAAACTGCTTGGTGAGGCTGGCAGGGATAGCAGTGAGTGTTTCTATGAAGGGGCAGGGAGGAGGAAGGAGCCACAAATGAGTGTATTCCAGTTGAAAGGATCAGTAGAGGCAGTTTTCTTTCTGGCTTTGACTTCAAAGGTAAAGTCTTGTAACACAAGCTACTTCTAGGTATTTGTAGGGTACATATCTGATATGTAACTCCTATCAAGAGAAAAGCTTGGATAGAAAATAGAGAAGGTCATATCCTTTGTACTTCTCACAGAGGAAGTGCTGCAGAGTTGGTTTCTCCCTTCTGCCTAGCTGCTCTTTGAATGTGCTACAAGTCTAGGCACTGCCGTCAAAACTGGAAGATGCTAGTGAAGATTAAGAAATCTGATGGAAGGTTTAGATTAACAAATAGGACATTGCAGCAGCCAGGGGTGAGCCCCATGTAGTGCTCATGGGCAACATGGTTTGGCAGCCCAGGAGACAGGAGCACTGAGAGTTGAGAAGAGAATGGAGCAAACTCATCAGTTGCCTCCACATTTCCCACCTGACTCCATGTCCCTTGCCAGCTTTTCTGCAGGCAGTGGACATGCCCCTCCTGCCTATCCCCAGTGTTCTGTTCTCTGGCTCCCACACCCCTCTGCAGCCTTCTAGCTATTTCTGGGCTCCCTACCAGGTTGTTCAGCTACTCACTCACCCAGGACTAGCAGATCTCTTCTGCTTCTTTGTGTAAAGCATAGAGCAAGACCTGGCAGATGGCACTGGCAACAGGAAACAGGAAAGAGGTCAGTCACAGCATGCTGCAACCCACCTAGCTCAGGTGTTCTTTTTTAAAATAGGATCTTGTCATTTTGTTAACGTAGTCCACCCTGTGGGACACAAGCTGCCCTGTAGAGAAATGCAATGTGTCTTCATAAACGTAGAGTATAAGACAGGTTATGGGGATCCCCACATCTGCCAAAGCATCCTTTTTTCTCTGAGACTTGAATTCTGAGAGTACACACAGTAGTTGTCTCCTTTGCCATATGCAGCTTAGGAAGCTGATGCACAGTAGTTCTTAAGAAAGCAAGAATTCATATTACAGCAGAATAAAGTAATGCTAGTCAGTTCTAAGAATTTTCAATTCCTAAATATAAAATAATTATTCATGGAGTTAACCAGGGGAAATAAATGGTCAGTGTGCCCATGCTGATAGGTTTCTGGAAACTGAGGATACCTATACTTCCTTACCCCTATTTTACAAGACCTCACTCTGCAAGAGGTAGATATCCCATTTTATCATTGTTGGTTTGTTTTGACTGACATCTGCTTTCCCCTCATTTTGCCAGTTATTAGATAATCAAAGATGGCTAATTCTTCAAGTAGTTTTCAGAGGCCATTCAATCTAAAAGTTTTCCCTGTTGTTGATGCTTCCCAGGGTGATATAAAGTATCAGCACAGTACAAGGAATTGTACACATCTGAGGTACTCTGTACTAATGGCCTAGCTTGAGAGTGGATCTGCTGTAAATTAAAATAATGAACTCCTGCTTTGGTAGTTTACCATGTATTATTACCCTACTGGTACCAGGCCTGTTCTTAGCAACTAAAGTAAAATTATAAGAATTTATAAAATGAAAAAGATGAGAGAAAAACATCTTCCTTTTGTCTAACATCTTTTTTGTATGTGTCTTTTTGTTTAACTCTCTGTCCTGTAGAAAGTGGATGTTACCAGCAGGGCAGTTATGGAAATAATGGCAAAGACGATAGAGTATCTTCAACCCAATCCAGGTAATGTAGTTTCACAGTCTCACAGTACTTGCTTTTTTAAAATACTCTTTCTCACTACTATGTATCCTGACAGATCTCATCCTCACTGGTGCAGTTAAGATGAACACAAAATTGGTGAAGTTATGGTGAAGTTAAAGACAAAGATGGTTTCTGTGATAGGCTGTGAGCATGAGGGGCTCCCTGAAGCAGACTGGGCATCTGCCTGTGGATTCCTTGGGGGTAGCAGTGCTGGGCCTGACAGCCAGGGCCCATCCCACTGCTCCAGCCAGGAGCTGGGCAGCCAAAGTGCACTGGGACAGAAGCAGCTGTGGGCTTCAGGCACCTCTCTGGATATGGAGAAGGGACTAGGCCAGGCAATCATCCCACTGGTGGAGATCAGGAGCAGGCACAGTTAGGGTGTCTGCATCAGAGGTTGCTTTCTCCTGTATCATAGAATCATAGAATCATAGAATCATAGAATCATAGAATCATAGAATCATAGAATCATAGAATCATAGAATCATAGAATCATAGAATCATAGAATCATAGAATCATAGAATCATAGAATCATAGAATCATAGAATCATAGAATCATAGAATCATAGAATCATAGAATCATAGAATCATAGAATCATAGAATCATAGAATCATAGAATCTTAGGGGCTGGAAGGGACCTCGAGAGATCATCTAGTCCAACCCCCCTGCCAGAGCAGGGTCACCTAGAGTACATCACACAGGAACTCATCCAGGTGGGTTTTGAATGTCTCCAGTGAGGGAGACTCCACAACCTCCCTGGGCAGTCTGTTCCAGTGCTCTGTCACTCTTACAGTAAAAAAATTTTTTCGGATATTCACCTTGAACCTCCTATGCTCCAATTTACACCCATTACCCCTTGTCCTATCACTGGTCATCACTGAGAAAAGCCTAACTCCGTCCCCCTGACACTCACCCCTTACATATTTGTAAACATTGATGAGGTCACCCCTCAGTCTCCTTTTCTCCAAGCTAAAGAGACCCAGCTCCCTCAGCCTTTCCTCATAAGGGAGATGTTCCACTCCCTTCATCATCTTCGTAGCTCTGCGCTGGACTCTTTCGAGCAGTTCCCTGTCCTTTTTGAACTGAGGGGCCCAGAACTGGACACAATACTCCAGATGTGGCCTCACCAATGCAGAATAGAGGGGGAGGAGAACCTCTCTTGACCTACTAACCACACCCTTTCTAATGCACCCCAGGATGCCATTGGCCTTCTTGGCCACAAGGGCACATTGCTGGCTCATGGTCATCCTCCTGTCTACCAGGACCCCCAGGTCTCTTTCACCTACACTACTCTCCAGCAGGTCAGCCCCCAACCTGTACTGGGACATGGTGTTGTTCTTCCCCAAATGTAAAACTCTGCACTTCCCCTTGTTGAATTTCATCATGTTTCTCCCCGCCCAACTCTCCAACCTATCTAAGTCTCTCTGAATGGCAGCACAGACTGTAGTTCCAGTCACTAACCCTATGTGAGGGAAAAGGACCAGACAGTCCTTTCAGACCATGAGAATAAAGACGAGGTTCTGAAGCAACTTCCTCCAGGTCACAGGAGGAAACGAAACAATACCTTTCACCTCTAGCTGTTTCTCATCCTCATTATTAGAGTTACTACAAAAGAGAGCATGCAAAAGAGCTGTTGATGCTGAACTAGAGAAAAGTGCACAGGAACAGACAAAATCAGAGATGACTAAATTGAACCTTCAAAATAAAAATAAATGGTTGGTTTCCATGGGAAAATGAAAGAAAGGCTTTGTGATTGGGCTCATTCAGAACTTTATGCTCCTCTCTTGCCAGAGAATTGTTACAGGGAGGGATGTCCTGGAGTTGTTATAATCAAGTAAACCATTAAATTAAAAATCTTCAAGATTTTCATGGTGATCTAAGAACATAAGGGTTTTGTTACTTGCATAAGTCAATGTCAACTTCACTGGTGGGGTCAATGGATTTCTGCTTGTGCAAAATTAGCTTGAAGGCAAAATGAAGCCATCTGCCTACTGCAAATGTCTTAGAGTTTCTTGGAAATACAGACCAAATTCACTCATTCACTGTGAAGAATTTATTTCCTAATAGCTGGAAACAAATTTGAACCAGTGTGAAATATTTTAACTGCAGTGTGGTAGGATGAAGGATCGTTGCTGGTATAGCTTAATTGGTGATATTTTTATGTTAAACCACAGAGGAAGGGAGTATAATTTGATGATGCTGCCAGTGGATTGTAAAAAAGGAGGAAAAATATTTACAAGTTCAAGAACTGCTAGAGAGAAAATACTGATGACTAGAACAGTTTCTGTGTCAACAGATAAAACATTGTTTATTACTTGAGTCCACAGCTTCATTGGTCGTCATCAACAAGCACTCTGCAGGAACAGCAGTAGGATTGGCAAACACAGGGCAAGTGATAAAATTGTTAACTAATGTGAAGCTGCAGTTGTGCAACATTGTATAGGATGAGTAATATGCTTTGGTTGTTTAGTGCTTCTCTGGCTGCCTTCCTGCCACATCTGAGTGGTTATGATTGTGGTGAATCATGAAAGAGACTCACAGCAACAACAGTGAGCAAAATTTCTGGAAGTATCTAAGAGTGTTTTCAGGCACCTCAGGCTGATGTAAGTTTGGAGTGCTGCAAGAAAGAGCTGTTTCCATACTCTGGCTATACATCACTTCATCTGCTTGTGGCATGTGTGAGTAGGATCAGAAGATTAAAATTATGATAGGCAGGAGGAAGATTTACTTTCCTGCATATCAAATGTGAGCATATTATTCATTCCACAAGTGGGCAGCAGTAGCAATTGGAGTAAGAGGAAAGGAGGACAGACACTTTTCAGCTCTCACCTGATCTTTTATGAAAAAAAGCCTCCCTATAGTGAGAAGATTTGCATGGAAAATTAATTTTTACTTAAATATAATTTTTAAAAATTATCTTT